CGGCCACTGGTACTACAGCAAGGCCTGCTGCCGCTCCTGCCGGACCCCTACTCCCAGGCCTGGCCCTGCAGCCCCTTGAGACTCGGGAGCCTGCCCTGAGCTTATGTGGCTCTGGGGCCCCTCCCTGGACACTCGTCCTGTAGGCCCCCGGGTGTGAAGGCCTAAGGCGGAATCTCGGCTGATCCTCGCAGACTCCCATGGCCTGTGGATCGCTGCTCTGCCCAGCCCTGGGACAGCCTCCAGCACCCACCAACCGCTCCCCAGAGCTGACCCGGCTGTGGTGACTGTACCTGGAGCCAGAGGGTCCTGTGTTGGTGGCTGCCACCTCCACCCCCAGCAGCCCCAGAAACATGGGGCCCAGAGTCCAAAGCCCAGCATGGAGGTGAGACCTGCCCTTGGCCCAGGTTCTGCTCTGCAGAGGTGCAGCCATTCCAAGGTGACTTGCCAGGGCAGCCAAGGGACACAGACCATCAGTCCCTGGAGGTACTGAGGCATGCTCCTTCCAGGGGACCCCATCCCACGACCTAGTGTTGGCTCCACCTGCCCTGCAGGAGCTGTGCTCAGAGGGGCGTGCACTTTATGCCCCTGGAGAGGCCCTTTCTCATGGTGCACTGGGCACGGACAGCCGGGTGTCCTGTATCCTTGTCAGTACTCATCGGCGTATGTTAATAAAGTGGCTGTATTTATGGTGGCATTTCGCGATCTCAGTTGCTTCTGGCAGGAAGGCTGGCGGGCACAGGGGCTGAGAGCCAGGGTGAGCCATGCGGGGATTCTGGCTCAGCAGAGGGTGTGCGGTCAGGTGGCTGCAGTAGTCAGGTGCAGCAAGCAGTCAGGAAGCACAAAGGGAACAGGGGGCCCAGGGAGGGATGTCGGGGCTCAGTGCTGGCTTCAGAACTGGCCAGAAATTCAAGCCTGCTGTCAACTGGCGTGTGTCCTCTCATGGAAGCCTGAGCCCCAGCTAAGGATCAGGGCACCACCTGCAGGTGTGTTTGGCACCATGTTCTCAGTGCCCAGGTGGCCACGGGCAGTGTCTCCTTGGAGCCCAGGTAGCAGGGAGGCCCACAGTTGCTTGTCAGTCCCCTGCAATTTGGGGATGGACTGTCTCCAGCTGGAACCCAGAGCAGGGGCCACCTCGGTGCCTCGTTTCACCAGAACAGTTTCTGAGGGACTTGGGGCTTTGAGGGAACCGAGGCAGCAATCAGCCCGTGCACTCTTGCCCCTGTGTGTGCCTGCACCCATGGGCATCGGAGGGCTACCATCCAGAGCAGCTGTTGGGCTCCGGCAGGAAAGTTCTAAGGTCCCCATTGCACTGATGCTAAAGCAGGCCCAGAGATGGTCAGCTTGTTGTCCCAGGTAACACAGCCCGTTACCCACAAACTTTCTAGAAGCTCAGCACTACAGTGGTGGTTCCCAATCTCAGAAGATCGACTCACCTCTAGGGAACTGAAAAACACAGTGACTTGTTGTGGCAAGTCCTCCCAGAAAGCCACTCCCAGTCCCAGGCCCTGGACCCCACCAGCCAGATCAGAAAGGTGACTGTCTGACACTGGGCAGCTCCAGGAGGGGGCTGCACTGCAGGAGCCCAGGCGCATGGAAGACACGGAGCAGCGGCTGCGAGACAAGGTTTATTGGCTTCGCTTTCCCAGGGAGCCCAGGGCTCCACCAGCAGGCCCCGTCATGGCGGCATGGAGTGGGCTGGGAGGGGTGGTGCTGGTTTCAAGGAGATCTATGAACTACACCAGAGGGCAGAGGCCAGGAAGAAGGGAGGGACGTGGAAGGGCTGGGGAGTGCCCTCCGCCCCGCCCCAGCTGATGCCCGGCGACTCCACAGGATGCAGGACAGGGTGGGATGGGATGCAGGCTCTGGGGGTGTGGGGAGCTGACTGCACAGGCCCCGGGTGAACCCCACCACGGCCGAGGCGGGAGGGAGGAAGAAGAGGAGGGAAACTCGGCGCCCAGCCCAGGGTCTCCACCAACTGCCCCGTCTCTGGAAACTCACGGGCGCTGGAGTAAGAGGGCCAAGGTCCTGCTCCGGCCTGGCTCGGGGCGGCCCAGGCCCTTGAAGGCTTATCTTTGGGGAGGTGCCTGTGCTGAGCGCCCACCCACCCGTGGCTCCAGGGTAGGACCTGGGGAGGGGGAGGCTCCCAGAGGGAAGGGCTCTTGGGTCCTGCTGTCCTCCTGGCAGGACAGCTGTGCTTGGATGGCAGTGGCGTGGGTGTGGGGCAGTGCCCCTGGCGGCCACTGGGCACCGTCTCCCCCAGTGATAGAGAGGGCTAGAGAGGGGGCAAAAGTCCCCGGGAGACCTGGTTGGAGCTTGGAGGGGCATGTGCTCCCACTCAGGAGCAGCGAGCTCTGGCTGGCTGGACCCACGGGGCACCAGCAGGGACTGGGCTTGGGGGGAAGAAGGTGGAGAGGGGGGCAATCTTCCTGGACATGGTGGCTCCTGCTGAGAATCAGAGCTCGAAGGGCTCTCTGCGGCCAGCCTTCCTCAGCAGATGGGGAGACTGAGGCCCATGGGTGGGAAGGCCACCCAGGACTCCTGGTGAGTCGGGGGACCTCTGAGCCCTGGGCCACGGCTCTGCCCACCTCCCTACCCCCCAGGTGTCTGCTTGCTGGCCTGGCCTAGGCTGGGGACCAGCTGTGCAGTGTCCCCTCTCCCTCTGCCTCCCTCTTCACCAGCAGCAGACCAGGGGCCAAGTACGCCAAGAACCTTGCTGCCCTGAACTCTCCCTTCTGTCCGTCTGCCAGGTGTTTAGGGCAACAGCGTATCGCCCCAGCAGGTGCCTGTAGGGGGTGGGGGCAGAAGGAGAGGGAGGGGGGGGAAGAAGGAGACCCGAGTTCAGGGGGCATGGAGTCCCTGTTGTCCCCGGGAGGCCTGTGCTGCGGGGCCCCTGACATCACAGAGGCCACCCCTTCCTGGCACAGGCAGGAAGACCAGGGCCCCAGGAGGGCATGGCATGGCCCAGGCCACACAGCCAGGGAGCTGAGTTGGGGTTGGAACCATGGCCACCGTCCTGCACCTCCTGGAGGTAGGAGCCTGGCCCTGTGACCAAGAGCCAGGCCCTGCCTTGCTCTGCCATCCCCACCTGCCCTGGCATCGGGCCTCTACCTGAAGCGGCCACACTGGGGGTCACTGAGCCTCATCCCTGCAGAGGGCTTGGGGCTCCTCATGCCTGGGGACCCCTGAGGACAGGGATGTGAGGAAGGCTGGGCTGAGCCCGGGCTTGGGCCTGGGGCCCTGGGGACATGCCATGGGTATTCTGTAGTGGCCTGGAGACCTTGTGTGGCAGAGCTGGGCGCGTGACAGCCGTCACACGTCCGTGCTGACACTGCGGCTCCGGGAGAAGGCCTCGCGCATGGCTGACAGGCGGTTGGGGTTGAGTGCCTGCAGGCCCCCGAAGCCCCCGGCGGGCAGCTCCAGGTCCTCCTGGCTGATGCTCTTATAGGCCACGCGCCCCCCGCCGTTGCGAACAGCCTCGTCCTCGTCCTCAGGCTCTTGCAGGAAGAAGGTTGGTGGCTCGTACTGGGAGCAGCTGCGGCAGAGTGTGCGGGCCTGTGGGGACTTCTGGCGGAAGGAGGTGGAGGCGGCCGGGTACAGCGCGGGCCCGTTGGTCAGCACGAGGTTGCGGTTGGAGTGCAGGGGGGGCAGGTGCGAGTGCACGGCGAAGTCCGGCTCCTCCTCGTCCTCCTCGGACTCGTCCTTCTTACAGCAGTAGTACTGCGGGAGAGGGTGACCGTGCTGCATGCCACCGCACGTGTGCCTACAGGTTGGCCCACGCCAGAGGGTCCCCAGGGTCCAGGGCAGCCCTGCCGGGAGCCCGCCCGCTCACAACCACCTGCCAGTCTTGCTGGGGCCAGCGCTGCGCTCAGCACCTTGCGGTGGCTCACTCCCCTCGTCCAGAAAGCCCCCATCTTCACTTTGCCAATGGAGACGGAGGATGGGGGCTGCAGAGCTGGGGTCCAAGCCCCATCCAGCCCCAGTGTCCAGTTGTGGACACTGCCCTGGGCCACCTCACCCTGCCCAGAAGGCTCCCCACCTCAGGAGGACACAGGGCCTCCGGAGGCATCAAAGCACAGGCAGGCCAGGGAGCATGCAGGGCGGCCCCTCTCGCCTCTGCCCTCCCCCTGGGCAGCTGTGTGCCCCCCGCTCAGTGCCTTGTCCTCTCTGAGCCTTGGCGACAGCCCTGGGTGAGTGAGCAGGGGGCCAAGGACCCTGAGCCTGGCAGGGGGAGTCCTCGCCAGTGCTGTCTGCTGGGCGCCTCCTCTGAGATCTGGCTGTCCCTTCTTGGAGCCTCTTGGGCCTCTCCTGCCCTGGCCCTACCCTGCCCTGGGGGGTACCTGGAGGCGGCAGTAGCACAGAACTGCGATGATGCAGAGCAGAATCACAGTCGCCAAGATGCCCCCGGTGATGACCACAGTCCCGGCTGTCATCCGCCCTCCTCTCCATCAACAGCCTGTGAAAACACCAGCAGCCCCACGGGGTCACCCAGACCTCTGTGCAGAAGGAAAGAACCAGCCAAATGGGAGCAGGTACCCCCGGACGCGCATGTGACAGGTGAGGGCTCAGGGTGGAACAGGGCAGGTGGGAGGAGACGAGCCCCCTGAGGCCTCTCCCTTCCCACCCCAGCCTGTTTCTCGTCTGCAAGAGGCGGGAGCTGCTAGCACAGTTCTGTCAAGATCTTGCGCTCAGCAGTGAGCTGGGCTCCGGGTCCTGTGACCTGTTTCTTGCCTTCTCACCTAACTCGACCATTCTTCTGTTTCTGAATCATTAACTTTCGGGTGCAACATGATTTCTGGTCATAATCCATTGTTTAACATGATGCTTTTTCATTTAAATATCAATAGTAACAGAATGCTTGGACATCGGACATAAAATCTACCATCTTCAATTTTTTTGGGGGGTGCTGGGTATTGAATCCAGGGGTGCTCTACCACTGAGCTACACCCCAACCCATTTATTTATTTATTTAACTTTTGAGACAGGGTCTTGCTAAGTTGCCCAGGCTGACCTCCGACTTGTGATCCTCCTGCCTCAGCCTCCCCAGTCACTGGGATTACAGGTGTGTTCCACTGAGCCTGGCCACTGTTTTTAATTGTACAATCTAGCACTGTCAAGAAGATTCACTCTTAAGATTTTTTTTTTTTTATCTTACAAAACTGAAAGCCAATTCCTTTTTGATAGCTAGGCTGTTTACACTGAGAAAAAATATTTTCAATGATGTTTAGGGTAGGGTGGCTCCTGGATCACAGAACCTACTTCAATGCTCTCTTCGGGACATTGTCAGAGGTGGGAATTTGGGCTCAGGGACTTCCTGCCTGAGCCCTGCCGTGGACATGGCCCAGCACATGAACGCGGGGGACAGACTGACCCTGGAGCCCATGCCCCCTCCCATGAGCATCTGCTCACTTTTCAAGGTGTGGGCACGAAGGTTCAGCAACCCCCTCACGAGTTCTGGCCATCCCCACGCCCTCTCGCGAGCCAGTGGAGTGGCCGGAGTGGCCGACAGACCCCTTCCCCTATTCCCAAGTCTTTTTTCTTTTTTTGGCAGGGGCCGGGTGGCGGGAGTGACTGGAGTTTTGCAAGATCCCAGAGCGAGCCAGTTTACCCACCAACACTGGCGCCAAACTGACAGACGAGGACTTAGCAAAGCACCCAGCCTGCGTGCTCCAGGGGCTCCGAGATGCCTGCTCCCGGCCGGCTTGTGCCTCAGCACGTGCTGGCCTCCAGGCCAGGCCAGTTCTCACAAGCCCTCCTCCTGCCTCCCTGCGCCACCAGGGAGGAAAGCCACCACCGGCCTGTGCGCTGGGTGCGCGGGGCCTCACCGCCCAGGCGCTCGCTCCTCTGTGGCGCTTGGCTTCTGCCTCGCGGTCAGGCGGCCTCTGCTCCTCTCTGGTCCTGCTGTTGCCTTACCCGGGGGTTCAGAGGCTTGGCCCGGCTTTCCCAGCAGATCGCTCGGGCAGCCTGAGCAGTCCAGACGGCTAGTCCATGGGGACACGCGGAACGGCCACTTCAGATGCGGTCCATTCCCCGGCCGTTCACCCTGGTGCTTCTGAGGGAAGTGCAGAAGAGCCGCCTGCGCGTCCTAGACTGCTGGCCCCGAGCAGCCGTAAGGAAGGGCACAGGGGCCAGTCTCACCTCTAGCCACTTGCAGAACAAGCGGTGACCCTTAGTTCCTGTTTTCAGCGTCATCGTGACGCCACAGACTCGCTGATGCATCTGGATCTGCAGTCACTCCTGGTGTTCAGTGGCCCCCCTGGGACTGTGGGTCTGGAGGCCCCTCTGGCGGCTCCTGGGTTGCTCTGGTGGGACCCCAGGGATGGCCCCACAGGGTGGTTCTCAGACAAGGCTGGGCGGGGTGCCCGCAGTGCCTGGTATTTCCTGCTGGTGCGACTGTAGGGTCGGGTCTGCGCTCGAGGCGCTGAGCCTGGTGGTGTCCGTGGTGGGCACTTTTTCCACTTAGGTCAGCGTACCTGTCCTCTCCTCTGTGATCATCTTCAAAATAACGTGACCAGTAGGTTCACTGACAACGCTTTTGAACCGAGTTTGGGTTTCTATCCTTTTTGTGCCGGCCCCTTTAGGTACGCACAGTCAGGAGACGGTTTCAAACTCACTGGAAAGACCTCAGCTCAGTTCCCCCACCACTCCACACCTGTGTGCCTTTATTTTTCTCTCTTTTTAAAAATTTTAAATGAATTTAATTTTGCTCATTAATCATAGAAAACATTTGGTCCCAAAGTCCACAGTGTGACACCGTGGGCATTCGGTCTTGCTTCTGCCCCTGCCCCTCCCCTGCGTGCCCCCAGAGGTGACAGTCCCACTCAACTCTGGGCTCACCCTCCCATGGCTTCTCCTCACCCGGACCAGGTGCACTCCTTGCCTTTCACATGCAGGGGCTTTTCCTACATTGTGTCTGACCTTCCTCTTCGTCTCCTGCTGTCTTTCCCTGGATGGACAGGGCTGGCCTGGCCTCCTGGCAGCCACCTCATGCCTGGCACATGGAGGAGCCCGCTCCCGGCTGCCCTGTGGGGGCACAAGCACAGGTGCCCACCGCTCCTTTCCCAGGTCTTTGCAGACGCTGGCAGGACAAGCTCCATGTGCACGTCCCTGGAGGGCCTGGGGGATCTGCCAGAGCCGCTGGGATTCGGGTTGATCAACCCTCCTCCAAGAATGCACGAGAATAACCGGCAGGCGAGGTCTGGCTGGGGTGGGGGAGGCCTCGGGGTGCCCCCACTGACTCTAGCCAGGTTTGTGAGGGTCAACACCAGGCAAGGAGGTGCCCGTGGAGGGGGGACACGGACACATACCGACAGAGGGGCTGGCTGGGACACAGGGACCTGGAACCCGGCCCCTTGACAGGAAGACAGCAAGAGAGGATCCAGCCAGACACACAGGCAACTCCAGATACAGGCAGACAGAGCGAGGTGCAGACAGCCTGCTGCAGACAGACTCAAAGCAGCAGAGCCAGGCGGAGACGGACAAACCGCCAGACACACAGGACAGAGACGGAGCCAGGGACCTCACACACTCCTGGGAGCTCTGCCTGGCAGCTCCAGTCCCACACAATTCCCCAGGTGGCTCAGGCCAGCTGGCCAGCTGGCCCTGCTGGGGACATAGGCTGACAGGCAGGATCCAGGGCGGCAGCGGCAGGGCGGGGCCGTCCAGATGACTGGCACCAGCTCTGCAGAGGTGAGCTGAGGCCAAGCAGGCAGGTGCCCTGGCATGGGGTTCAACTGTCCTGCCCTCGCCCCCACTTTGGGTCTCACAGGGATACTGATATGTCCTTGACCTTCCCCTGAGGTTGCAGAAGGGACTCTGGGGAGTCCTCCTCTGTGGTCAGGAGGACAGCCTGAGGAGGAGAGGTCAGCTGCTGGGACGCCGAGGTTACTGGGGAGGAGACTGAGGCCCAGGATACGCAGGGGCCTCCCAGGAGTCCAGCCAAGCCCCAGTGTCCCCTTAGGCCAAGCTGGTCTGCATGCATCGTCCTGGAGAACAGGCCTCTCCTGCAGCTCAGAGCCTCAGCAGTCCTCACTACCTGTGGGGACCACAGGGTCTCGACACAGAGGCCGTGCCTGCCCATCGTCCCGTCTGACACTTTCCAGGCTGGCCCTCCTCTCTGTGGGATGCAAACTGCGGACTGGAGGGATGATGTGACCTGTCAGGCCCCAGCAGCAGGATGAGGAGGCAGAGTGGGTCAGGGCCAGTGGTCATGACCATCCACCTAAGGCAGGGCAGTGCCCTCTGCGGCTCCCTCTCCCTCCTGTCAAGGCCCACGTCTGCACGAATGCCCTGGACCCCATGGCACGCTCATGTGTGGGTCACTGTCTCTGTGACCCTCCTCTCTGCACCCTGCCCCTGGTGCCCAGTTGTACCCTGACTGCTGCCTGCTGCCCATAGCTTACTGGGGCTGGAGTGGACGCGTGCCCCAGGCTGGCTTCTCTTCTGAGAGATGGAACAGGTCCCTGCTGGTCCCAGGACCTGGGCAGACATAAGCGGTCTAGCTGCGGCCAGGGCTGGCATTTTGTGCCATGTGTGTGGACAGCCAGCAGGAACTGGCCCCAGGGGAACAGGACAGAAACAGATGTGGAGAAACCTGTCCTCTGCTGGGGTCCTGACCCAGGTGTGAGCGAGACCCTCCCCTGGGAAGACACAGCTGAGTGGGCTTCTGACATTTGGCCCAGAGCAGCCAGTCATGGCCCTGCTGCCTCCAAGGGGCCTCACTCAACCTGGGGAGGCGAGAGAGAGGGCCTGGGTATGGTTAGCTGTCGTGACGGGCTGAATGCAGTCACTGACCACAGCTGGGGCTCTAGGCCGGGGCCAGGTTCCCCAGGGAGCACGTGCCTGGTAGGCCCCAGGAGCTGGGAGGGGGAGTAAGACGCAAAGATCAGGACTGTGGTGCTGAGGCCCTTGGGACAGGCAGGCAGGGGCTCCAGACAGTGCACTCGAGGGACCCCTACCTGCCGGCCCCGCTCGGCCTCCAGTGGGCTACAAGAACTGGGCACTGGGGACTCTGCACCAGGGCAGGTGCACTGTCAGACAGTGTCTCTCCCTGGGCCTATGTCCTTCCTTGGGTCACTGTGAGAGCTGGCCATGCTCCCAGGCCCGAGATGGTCCCTTGCTCTGCCTGGCCCCTGGGGCCTGAGCTGCGTCTCCTCTGGGCCTGGGTTCCTTCCAGCGGCAGGCAGCCGGGAAGGGTGCCGGCTCAGGCCAGGTGCCCAGGGCTGTCAGCAGCAGCCACTCCAACACCCGGCCTATCCAGCTGGAGCGTCTCCGCCTCGCTCCGCAGATACACGCTCAGGGAACAGCAACGCCCGTGGTGGGTGCCAGGTTCCAGGGCCAGGCCCGACACAGACGCACACGCTCCTGGCAGCTCCATTCGTGCCCGGGCCTGACATCATTGCAGTTAACTCCAAACAGTCCCAAGGGTGAAGGTGCCATTGTCCCCTGGCTGTGCCCCTGCCTTCTCTCTGCTCTGGCTGTGCCACCCACTGGGATGCCCTTCCCTCTGACCCCCACTGAAGCCAGGCAAGTGCCGTCCTCCTCCAGAAAGCCTTCCTGGACTTCACTGAGCCTCAGAACTCAAATGCCAGTCCTGGGAGGGACCATGCCCCTCCACGCAATGGGAGAACATAACCCTGAGCTCCCCTCCCCTCCTGCATCCTGCTGCCCGCCTCAATCTTCCAGGCAGGGACTCTGCCCCGCCATGCCCCCCAGGTCTGCGTCCTGCTGGGGCATTCAGCTGGCTGTGGCCTGGGGTCAGAAGCCTCCTTCTGGCCCATGCCCTCATCCACACAGGTAGGCAGTTTTAGCCAATGGACTCCTCCCACTCCAGGACCTCGGTGGCTCAGCCACAGGACACACTTAGAGGGTCATGATGGGAAAGAGTGCCAAGAGGCCGCTGGAGACTGCAGGGGAAGGAAAACAGAGCCTCTGCTGCATGCTGGCCTGGGACACAGCACCCAGGCACCAGTCCTGAGACCAACCAAGCTGCTGCCTGGGAGATGAAGGGAGGGCTTGGGGCCCAGGGCTAGAGACAGAGCATTAGATGCTGGGAAGCTTCCTGGAGGAGGCGGTCCCTGACTGGTCCAGGAAGAGGACTGTCTAGACTGTGCTGGGCCTGCCGTGCGTGCGGGGAACAGCACAGGCCGCCTCGGAGGCAGGTAAGTGCCAGGCGGCCCTGTGACAGCCTGGCAGAGCTGCCACCGCCTGTTTGCAACCCAGCAGCAATTCTGAAGCTGCCTGCTGCCAGCCAGCAATTCAGTGGGGCTCGCTGAACTGTTGCTCTGCCCCCTGGGACCATAAACGATTTTAAAGCTTTATAAACAGCTTTGCTTCCCACCCCTACCCCCACCCCCAGCTTCCACAAGGGCAGGCTGTGAGATGGGCCCTCTGCTCCTCCTCCACCCTGGAGCCTGTGCAGGGGGGCCCTGGTGGGCGACAGTCCCCTTCCAATAGCCCCTGTCTCGTCTGGGCAGCCACCCTGGAGCACCGCCGAGGAGCGGACAGGCTCTGTTGTCTCCACACCAACCATCAGGCGGTGGGGCCGGGCGGGACAGAGGCAGGAAGCACCTGGCAGCAGAGCCAGACCCGCCTCCACCTGCCTCCCCCTGTGCGGCTGCCCTGACTACAGGACACACGCTCTCATGTCCTGCCCTCCTCCCGGCTCTAGTTTTCCGTGTCCCCTCTTGCCCATCTCGCACTTGCCTCAAAGGCCGAGAGGCTGCAGCCTCCGTGGTTTGTTTAATTGTGTCCACCCCAGCCCCTGCAGCAAAGCTTGATGCAGGATCTGTCTCCGGCTCTCCTGAGGTGCCCAGCGCTCTGGTAGGAGCCAAGAAGCCAAGCCTGGCCAGGCCCTGAAGCCCAGGGACTTCCAGTCCTTGGTACCAGAGCTGGGGGCCTGGTGAACATGGCTTCCAGGCTGCAGCGAGCCCGGGACCTGCTGGCTTAACAAGTGTCCTTCCAACCAAGTGACGTTGGGGCCACTCATCACACAAAGCGAGGCTGGGGCAGAGGCTGGCTTTGAGGGGCCAGGACAGGGCGGGGCTGGGAATCCAGCTTGTGTCCTCTGAGGCTCCCCCCAGTGTGGCGTTCTCTGAGGGCTCTGGGGACTGAGATCCTTGCTCCACAAATGCATCCATCTGGTTTCAAAGTGCTCCCGCTACCTGGAAGCCCCAGGGCCCGCCGTTCTGGAGCAGAGCAGAGCGGCCCGCAGAGTTCCTGTCTAGACCTCCTCCACATTTGTTCCTAATTTCACGCTCTGCGGGCTCCTGGATTCCTGCGCTGCGGTAATAAACAGACAGGGAAGTGCAGCAGGGCCGGCTGCCCCAGCTGGGCTCCAAGATGTTATCCAGAGCCGGCCAGGGACGGCCCCACAGAGGGGCACCAGGGGCACCGGGAATGCCTGCCCCCAAGTGCAGTCTGCAGCCCAGCCCAGCCCCTGGAGCTCAGCAGGCCAGGGCCAGGGAGGGCCCAGCCGGGTTCCCAGGGCTCTCGTTCTGTCGGGAACCAAGAAAATGCCCACAGTTGGGGAATCAGTGCATCCAGGCCCAGGACGGGGGTGGGTTGCTCAGGAAACATGTGGTGCCCTGGCGTGCCAGCTTGCTAGTCTGGCTCCCTGAGGGGTCCCAGAAAGAGCACAGCGACCCGGACATTCCATCCATCATCTCTGGTGCTTTCTGGGTGTGCTGAAATTCTCCCTGGGCCCTAGATGAGGC